TAAATGTTGTTCTTTGAAATGTGTTGTCCACATATACATTCCGCTGCAGGTGTATGTGTTCCCAATACACTCGAGTCAGAGACTTTTGCCAGCAGTACCACAAGGTGGTGCATGTGCTCCTGCTCTCCTGGTGCTCTCAGGCAAGGACATAAAAGAGGTGTGTCTGCCGCCTCCCTCTGTTCCTTCCCACTGCTGTATGTAATGTCTGAAGTAGTGGGGAAGGTGGGAGGGTCATGGAATGTGTATGTGCACAACACATCTCAAAAAAAGCAAGGTTTCCAGGCAGCTTATCTAGATTAGCTTCTCTCTCTCCAAAGGTCTGGCATCTCTGGGCCATATTTTTCCACCTGAACACCTGTTAAACCTTTACATGAATATGCTTATAGCTGTGACTGCTGTCAATCTTTTCCAGATATTATATTCTCTGATGAAAGGACACGACCCTGAGATGTGCTCTGCATCCACAACTTCTATTCAGGTGAACACATCTGAAGATCAGAACTATAGCCTTATAGTCCTTTTGATTAAGATTTTCAAAGCTGACTAGGCAATTTAGCTATAACACACCCACTGAAATTAATAGAAGTGATGCAGATAAATCCCCTTGTCATCTTTGAAAATCTTTTTTCCTTAATATTTGGAAGAAAACATGCACACTGTTTTATGTCAAAAATGCTTAAAACAGATTAATCTAAGTGTAAAAGATCTCCGAGACACCATACCTGCTCCAGACCGGTGGCTGAATTAGTTGACATAGCAGAGATGTATTGACACGTTTACCCACACACAAATTAATAGAGGTTAAGGACTGCAAGACCAACGAAGGTTTGTAACAGAATTGTATTCCACATTAGAAGTATATAAATTTTAGAAACATTAAAACAAAATGCAGCATCCGGTTGATTTTTTCCCTATGATTAAATGCTGTTCATTTTCTTTTGCAGATTAAGTACTATAGGTAAGAAATATCCAATTTCACCAGGGACCATCAGTATAATTTGCACACTTTTCACGAGTAATAAAACCCCATAAAGCGGAAAGACATTTGGATCGAGACAAAAATCTCCTCTCATCTCCACTGTGATGTTTTTATTTTAATACTAATGTCACACAAAACCTACTTTAAGCAACATTCAGGGTCTGCCAGAAACGAACCCAAACCAATATATAGAGAAAGAAGGCTGGAAATTATTCTAATCTCCTGTGTCTTCTGTGAATAGCCCAGCTGAAGTCAAGGGAACAACAGGCCTAAATCAAAGTCCATTTAATTCAATGGGAGATTTTTCAGTGAGTTCAGTAGGCTTTGGATCATGCCTTATTTGCATTATTAATCTTTTAAGAAGTAAAGTTGGGATCTGGCCTATTGTCCCAGCTCTAGATTTTGCAGGAGTTTCCCAACAGTAGGTAATTTAACAGCCGACAGGCCGGATCCTGCATGCCTTGCACACTTAAAACTCCCACTGACTTCAGTAGGATTTTGAGTATGCCAGGAATGCAGTACTGAGCACTTGCATTGTCCTGCAATATCCTCGGCACTATTAAGTGCGGGATGGACCAGGCATTTGGCAGAACTCTGATTTTATGACTTGTGTCAGTTTAAGTTAGAGGGTTATTTTAATCTTTGTGTGTGCATATGTTTCCTTTTATTAAGTGTAGGTTTTTTAAAAAAAAAATCTCACTTTATATTAAAAGGTGCATTTATAAACTGTTTACAAAAGGGTTAATAAAGGCTTATTATATACTGTAATAAGTGGTTAATCAATTGTTTTGGTATCAAGAAAGAAATAGATTGCTTAGAGCCATTTCTAATCACCTTCTAGTAAAGCCATTTGTAATTTTTTTGGGGGAAGGATGAGGATATATGTCCATGATCTGTGGTTGAAAGACTTTTTTCCAGATTTTTTTTTTTTAATTTGTAGTCTTCATCTGATGTACATTGTTACCTGCCCTTCATTAGGGAAGGCTGGTGGAGTTAATTGATTTGTAATTATGTGGTGCTGCTAGGTGGTTATTGTAAGTTTAATTATTGCCAGGACAGCTTTAAATCTGTGGTTTCAATGTCACATTAAAGACATAATAAAATACTGATGTGTCTAAGACCAACTACTATAACATACTACTTATGTCTATAACGTCTATTATAATCATTAACCCTTTATTAACTATTTATAAATGTATTCCTAGTATGAAGTGTGACCAACAAAATCTCTCTCCCTCTCTCATGAACACATACCAGAGTTGCAGAGTAATCATAAAATCTTCGTTGTCCTTGAAAATATTTTTATGAACTTATAATTACATATCCAGCCAAGTAATGAGTTTGGAGAAAATGCAACTGTAATCACATAAAAAGCTTATCTGCTTTTTAAAGTGAGGATTTCTGATCTAATAGAGCATGATAGTTCTAGAAATCCATTACAGTCTATCTGCCTTTGAAAAAACAAGTTGGCACATAGGACTTGTACTGCATTGCACAGGAAAAATCGTTCTGAAAGTGTTTTGAAAAAGCAGTTCCAAAAAATGGCTTCCAGGCATGTACAGTAAGTTCAATGTCCATACCATTTTAATTAACAATTTCAGAGCAACAAAAACAAAGAACACATATCATAGACTAACTACCTGCTAAGTCTTTCATTCCTCAAAACAGCTTTTGCGCTGCAAAATCACAGTCCACCTCTCCCACCCAAAAACATTAAGAACCAGTAAACCATTTTTTCTGCATTTGGGTAAACAAAACAAAACAGGCCAAAAAACTGTCCCAGACAAAAAATCTTGGGTAACTAGTCTGATATGATATTTTCCAGCTATGTTACAGATTCCTGAAAATACGACTGATGTTGAACTAAATAATGCTAATATAATTAAAGCAATGTGAATGCTTCAACTTTAAAGATGAGGCATGCTTTTTCCATTCACAGAAACTGTTCATGTAAAAATCCATCATCCATGAAGCATGTTCTGATTTTTAATTTTTCTTTGCTTTGATAGATCAGTTGCTTCACAATATCCCTTAAAAGACAACTATCCAAGAAAAGCTAAATGTACAGTGTTCACATTTTAAAGATTGTCAGTTTTATAGAACAAATGTTGCTAAAACAGTGGAAGATTGAGGGTCATTTCTGTCACTATCTGAAAACATGGGCATCTAATAACATTAGGTAAATATTTTGACAGTAGACTACAAGGTTAGTAAGTTTGTAAAAAGGCACGCTCTCTCACACAGTCAAAAAAAAGAAAAGAAAAAAGTGATTATTCAGTAGATCCTATAGAACTACAGAGCAGAACAAAACTTATATTTCCATGTTGCACAGGTAACCAAATGACATGGTTAGGGTGATCTTTTAACAGCATACTTGCGCCATCTTTCATTCTACTTCATGTTGAATGATTAAGTAAAATTATTTTATAATGTGAAAAATAAAATACTTGAAAGAGTTTAGTAAGCCTAGAAAAATCAGATTTGGGTTTGGCAAAGCCAACCTAGCTACTCAATCTACAATGAAACAACAACAAAGTTCAGTCAAGTCCTAAATGTTTCCAGGAGTACTCTTCAGCAATACATTGCACAATTCAGAAGTAATACCTGTTTAACTGTAGTATTTAAATGAACAAAGTAAAACCTAAACTTGCATTCTCATTGATTTTTCTTGGCTAGCTTTACTTTTGGGGGGAGATGATTACAGTCCGAATGCATTCTATTTACTATGGCAGAGCGGGAAATTGTTTAGAAATAGAAATGTTTCACTAGTGTTAACATCTTAGATTTTCACGAGGGAATGAAGGTTACTTATATTTCCAACATGCTTTCCAAATTATATTTTGCCTAGTCAACTTTAAACCCAGCTGAATTTTTGGTGAATGTTTTGTCTGAATGATTATCAAAAATAAAAGAAGACCAAAAATACTACAATAGCGTACCTATAAATCACACAGTTATGGCTGGAGAGGTAATTTCATCTTGCATAGACTGAATAATTATTCATTAATTGCTCCCAAGCAGGTTTGGTACCAAAAATTGAATCATTAGTAACTTAAATTCACTTAATTACAATCAAGTGCATCTGTTTTAATTTTGCACAATATCCATGATTTCTTTTTAAATGTTGCAGTTTTAGTTATTAGATGTCAGTCCTTGAAAAAAATTGGGCCCCATAGTTTGTTAAATAGTACCTTTGATTATTAAAACTGAAGTAATTTTACAAATATAGTTTACTTTTCACTATACTGTTCACTTTTTGCAGTTTTCTTGAGACTGACATTAAAAATGGATTACTAATGACAAAAGAAAATGGAGTAACTTTCCAGTCAATTTCACATTCCAGGTACTTATGCACTGGATAAACGCTGCAAACACCAGCAAGAACGCTTACTTATTCTATTGAATACAAAAATATATATTTCCACTAGAACGAAGGAAAAAATCCAAGGAAACACTTTTAATTGGTGTAATGATTTGTACAAGCTTGCTTTCATAAAATCAAAAGGGACATTGTCAACTTGAAATCTACTTGTTTTCACCTTAGTTAAAAGTTTCAGATACTACACCCACCTAAGTCCCCCTGCCAATATATATGTATTTAAAAAAAAAAATCACATTTTCCTATTTTTTGAGGACTCAATTCTGCCAGTTTTGCTCGTATTGAGCAATACATTATTCTACTCACGTATGTAAGTATTTGCAGCTCTGTGGCTTCAACTGCTACTAAACATGAACAAAGCTGGCTGAATCAAGCCCTAAAAATATTTTTCCTCTCACCTTCTGTTGTATGAAAAACATACACAGTACAATAGGAAAAAATGGCTCTACCATGGAAACACTGAAAAAGTGCTGGCAGAAGCAAACAGTAAACAAATTGAAAAGATAAGAAAAGTATTTTTGCTTCCAATCTCTGTCAGTTATATTCATCTTGGGTGTTGCTTGTAACAATAGTAGGCAAAATGTTTTCATACAGGAGTTTGATTTTTAAAGTTGACTGTGCCCTTTTAATTTTGGGGTCAAATTGGACTTGTCAGTATGCCTTAAATCAATTACATTATACCAGTTTTCATAATTAAATCTTTCATTATACACTCTTAGTATTTTCTTTAAATTGCTCAGTACATATGGAAAGGGTACTAGAGGCAAAAACAGAGAAGATAGATTAAAACAAATACTTTAAAAACTTTACTTTAATAATTCTAACCATAATAATACCTCATTACTGCAGTTGAGTCAACAGGCCCAATTCATCACAGGCATAAGTAGGTGCTACAGTAGCGAAGTCAGCTGCTTATGCTAGTGGTGAATGTAGCCCAATGCCAGTAAAACAAGGATTTTTTTAATGGTAACCTCTGAAAAATAAATTTGCCTTCTATGTACATGTAACAATTTTTTAGCATCTCCTGTCAAGGTCTCTGTTCATGCTGCCTATAAATTGCTCAGTAAGGCAGACTTTAAAGCCCCAATTCAACAAAGCACCTAAGCATGTGTTTAATTTCAAGTATATGGTTTAACCCCACTGAAGTCAATGGGATCTAAGCACATGCTTGGATATTTTGTGGAACAGGAATGGTTTTAAGTAGGTGCTTATAGTTAAGCACATAACTAAGTGCTTTGCTCAATCAGTGCTTAAGATTTGAAGGTAGCACCCTCCTTTTCACACTGTCCTGCTACAAGATTTCTTGAGTCTACTGTTATTTGCACTTAACAATGGGGAAAGACCAACTTTTTCAGCATGAAGGGTCAATAACAGGTGTTCAGAAATAACAATACACAACTCAAGATCTGCGGATAAACTGAAATTAACCATTATCACAGATAAATCTATTTTCATCACTAGTTCTGAGTTTGTTAAAAGACACACAAGGATTTTTTACAAGCCTGTTGTAAATTCTGGTAGTGATGTTTGTATTTGAAAAGATTCTTTATATAATCCATAAATTATATTTTTTGTATGTGGAAACAAATTTCAAATTCAATAATATAACTGAGGTGGAAAAACTAGCCAGTCAGTTTTTCATTTTTAAAAATCAGACTGAAAAAACATGAACTATTAAGTTTCTCTGTTGATTACTAGAAATTGTGGATAATTGTACTTACTTACCTGAATACCTATTTAGCAAATATCTTCAGATACAAGTTTAGATACAGAGTTAAATGTAATTTGAGCATTAGTTTACACATATATAAATCAAAGTTTGACAATATCAAAATCCCATCAAACTGTGGGCCCTTCTTATGCTATTATCAAATATACTATACCACTATGGGATAGCAGAGAACCATGGAACACTAGCATTAGGCATGTTTATTAAATTTGGTCAAATTTTCAGAACCTTCCAAATAGGAATACTAAACATTTATTTTCCCCTTCTGGAAATTTTTTTCTCATGCTCAATACAGTTGTCATTCCAATTCCTACTCAATTTATAAAAATATTTTTTTTATCCAATAATCCCGCCAAGGTAAAAATAGGAGTTTTTATAGCAAATGATAAACAAGCTCACTGACTATGAGAGAAATTAAACTTATTTAAACTGTCATACATTCGCTACTGAATCACACATCTCCATTTTCTTTGTGGGTGTGTGTTGTTGCCCACCTCAGACTGGCAGTTTTTAAGGTGCAGAAGCATCTTTCAAATGTGTGTCTAACTTAATGATCAAGTGCCACATGCTTTGAATTTACATCGTTAGTCAACCAAGAGCTGTCTTTAACAACAGGTCTAATTGAAACTGCATAATTCTTTAGAAATTGTAGCACTTTCAATCTAATGAGAGAACAAAAGGGGTATTTATGTGGTTCATTATATTACTAGATGCAATTTTTTGTAATTAAAAAAAAACAAACTCAACCTCTCTTCAAAATTCAAAAACACATTTGAAAGAAGTTGCTGCACCTGCAAAGACACTCTTTAAGCTTACTATGAAATACAAAAAAGTGCACCCTTCTATATCTACATATAAAACATATTAGAAATAAAACTTGTGTAAAATGTTTGCTGTGCAAACTATAAAAACAGTCAGTCAGTCCATTCATTTTCCTAAATATTTTGTCACATTCTCTTGCTTCCTACTGCAGAGAATCACTGTTATCCAAAACAAGCCCACTGATGTTTGTTGTTGAGAGGTCTGCTCCATCGTCTTCACCACTATCCACAGATTCATCCTCACTTTGTCCTGCCATCATAACTTGCTGAACAGCCAAAGTAGCACCATCAGATGACAGAGACTGGAGACTGTCTACATTCATGTTGACCGGAGCTGTAATTGTTACAACAGCTCCTGGAGAGGTGAAAACATGTATACAATTAGTAAACTGAAAACAATGATCAAATCAGAATTTAGATTTAACATTACACAAGAGAATTTGGTTTTTTTAATAGGATACCTTGGAAATTACATACAACAACTAACTATGTTATTTAGGTTGCAAAGTCAAGCACTCAAAAGTTAGGAAATGTCAGAATTGAGATTGCAAGACTCTATTTGGTCCCTCTGTGTGCATGTATGATACAGTCTTTAATTACATGATCACAAACTAATATTTCCCACTGTACCTCTACCTCATTCAGTGCACAGGCTGGAAGGTGCTCAGGGAATGAATCAGGGTTACTTAAATGGATGAGACTGCTACCTTATTTAGCTCCCATTGATGTCAACAATTAATTGCAGTGGTGTTGTAGCAGTGTTGCTCCCAGGATATTAGTGAGTCCAATAAAAGATATTACCTCACCCACCCTGTCAACAGTTACTGGCAGCTTTCCTATTGACTTCAGTGGGAGTCAGATCAGGCCCTTGATGCAGATGCTGCAAGGTGAGTAGGGACTTGAGGCAGGGGTCTGCAGGAAGGGAAAGGCTGGTCCTGTGGTTAAGGCAGTTGGATGCCACCCAGGAGGGATAACTGGGTCTATTCCTGCCTCTGCCACAAAGTTCCTACATGATGCTAGCCAAGTCATTTAAACCAAAAGTTCAACAGGTGGTTACTAATGATATAGTCCTCATTTCTCAGTGCCCAATGTGAGACTCTTGGGGCCTGGTTTGCAGCACTGAGCACACAACACTACAAGAGAATTCAATGGGAGCTGTAGTACCTTGGGCAGTAAGGCAGGGTGGTCTGCACGAATGAGAACAGCGTGGAGAGTCAGGAGGCCCCATGTAACAAGTCTGGCTCTTCCACTCTGGGAAAAATAATACATGTTCATGTAACTAAAAACTATATCACAATACACATGCACCAGAGCGAAGAATTAAGATTGCATGGACAACTTTAATTCTGACATTTCCTAACTTCCGAGTGTTTGACTTTGAGAAACCTAAACAACATTCTTGAAACACATTTTTTCTAAATATAATATTATATACCAAAAATCCAAGTATTTAGCTAAAATTCTGAGAGAGAAATTTCTGTCAATTTTTTCCAGACTACCAACACAGTGGTTTAGCTACATCAGGAAATGCCCCAAAACATAACAACAAAAACCACTTTATTTCTATGTAATAAAGACATTTAAATAAGGAATTCATTTTACTATACATGTTCCAGCCAATTTTCCTTACCATCTGACATTGTAAGTTCATTAGATTGCTGCTGAGCAACTCCCGATGCAATGGAATCAGGCCAGAACCTCTGAACTGGTCTGTTTTGAGCTGTTTTTTTCTTTGTTTTTGGAGTTTCGGAACAGCTAGAATCCAGCATTGGCTGAAGAATTCGTCTTCTAGCATTGATAAACCTAAACATGACCAACAAAAAAACCCCCACAGCTTATGACCAAAAAATTGTGAATGCATGCGCATACACGCACACACAGAGACGGTCTCAACCAATGTTTTATGCAAAAAATAAAAATTAAATAGAAATTAATATTAAAAATGAAAAATGCTATTTCTTAGCACCTTGGTTTCACACTCCATGTCAGGGATGCATGAGAACCATTGAACCACAACACCTGCTCCTGGAGCACTGAAGTCCTTTGATATTGCAAATCTAACTAAGGAAGCAGCTCTCTACTTCTCCCTGGCTGTCAGGCCCTTCTTCCTCCCTCCTCTACTGCCAACTGGTACAGTTCTTCTTCTAGCCAGGTGCATTCTAAGGTCCACCCACCCAATATACGCTGTGAATCATTGCAGCATGGCCCAGATAATGGACGTTCCTCTAATTAGGGTCACCCCAGACATGGCTCCTACTTGGGTCATTTGCTCAGGTTCCCTGCTCACCTGGCTCTTTCCTGTTTCTCTCTGGTTTGTCCCTAGCTCCTGCCTGACATCCTTTGATGGTCCCACTAAATTTCCCATGCCTGGCTCTTGCGCCAGTCAATCCACTCTCTTGTCAACAGTCTCTACCAAACAGATTCTCCACCTTCTTCCCAATTCCCTGCAACTCCCTGCTCTCCTCCTGTTTATTTCAGGCCCCTCCAATTGCTGCACAGGAACCATCCTTCCCTCTCTTTCTGCTCCTGAACATAAATTCAAAAGCCTGAAAAGCCATCAGTAATTAATTTCACTGTAGTTAGGTAAGGAAGGATTGTCTTATGACAAAGCACAGGACTTTGAATGAGGAGACCAGAGCTCTATGCCAGATATGACAAAGACTTCTGGTCTGTTGGACGGGTCATTAAAGCTCTCTAGCCTCAATTCCTTTATCAGCAAAATAAGCATACTACTACTTCCATATCTCTCGGGGTGTTATGAAGTGAAAATCCTTAGTGCCTGGAGGGTGTTTTGAGGTCTTTAGGTGCTTTAAGTTTGCAGAGTACTATTATATGGAAGACCATCCATTGTTTCCAGGCAAGTTTAGTGTAGAACTGTAGATTTAACTCTAGATGTTCATGATTTTTTAGTTTAAGTTAGACTCTTAATTTTATTTCTATGTATTGTACACATGTGGAAGGCACTCACATACACAGAGTGTACCTCCATACCCACACTCCAATTATGGACATTAAGCCAAAGTTTTGGATCTTACCAATTGTTAACCTGCAGTAGTGTCAGATTTGTCTGGGCAGCAATTTGCTTTTTCTCATCTTCTGTTGGATATGGATGCTAAGGACAAAAAAAAAAAAAAAAAAAGTAAGAAAAAAGCAAAAAGTTTACATTCTTTAAAAGAAAATGAAACTTTCTTCATTACTATTGATTAAAAATTGCTAGAATAAAAAAACACCTGTTTCATTAACAAAATAATTTTTAAAACAAAATTTTACTGATACAGTCACTTAACAAGTAAAACTTTACTAAACAAAAACTGATTTTATCTTTATAAAGTGTTTATGCCATCATTTAATTGCCAATGTCAAATTCAGAAAAAAAATGCTTCTCACAGTTGCCAGAGTCCTTGTTAGACAGTGTGATCCTTCATCAGCACAGCATGTGGTAAGATTTGATTAGTTACACTGTCGGACGGCTATGTCACATGAGAGTGCTGATGAGCCTTACGTGGTTAAATAACAACCCCCCTCCACCCGAATTAAACAGGACAAGGAAACTGTATGTAACATAAGAAATGCACATGTGATTTTCATGCATAATTTATCAGTTGTAACATCAGTTAGCTAAAACAGAAGATAGAGCGCTATAAATTAATGGAGTATTTATTACTAATAGAGACCTATCTTCCCCTTCCAGCGCAAGTATGTGTGCACAGGGAAGACACTGTAGAATAACATGGAGCCAATGGCACAAAGCAGTTGTTGGAAAGTTTGGTGAAAATTCAATTCCCCTCCACATATAATTTATACATGAAAAGTGAGCCATGCATTGGAGGAGTACCTGGCACTAAATCCTGGGCACCAATGAAATAAAGAATAACAACTTCTAGGAAATTTAATAAGATCTTGCAGTTCAAATGTTAAATATATGCAAAATTAGGGCCTTATCCAGCTCAGATTAGAGTCAATGGAAAACTCTAACAGATTTCAGTGGAAGCTGAATTGGGCCCTTAATGCATACAAAGAAAGGCCAAAAAGTTTTATCTTCCTCAGAAAGTCTTCTCTGAATACTTATGACTGCTGATGTTTAATTCTTACCCCTATGTGCTGAAAGAGCCAAGATCTCATCACATTAGTAGCGTGCTTTGGAAGAACCCCTCTCTTATTTTTTGACGAGCCATCATCTTGATGCAAGATACTTAGATCTTGGTTTAACTGTAACTGAAGCTGCACAAATAATTTAAGAAAAATGTGGAAAGTTATAAAGTTACTTTAATGAATAAAGATGTTGCACAAAAATTGTTTTTATCATGTGAAAGCAATGAAATAAATTAGCTCTATAATCTGTGTCAAAAAAGGGTACTTTATTTACCTGCAGCGGTAGTGGTGGAAGTTCTCTTGCAGTATTATCCTAAAGAGATCCATACTCTGGGTTACATATTATCAGGTTTCTGATGTTTTAGCATTTTCTAGAACCTCTTTCAAGAATTGCTGTAGTTGCCAGGAGGCTGTATTCAACACATCACAGCTACCAAGTGCCAATTTATTTTCACTTACAATAATATTCATTCCAGTGCAGGGGGCCAGGCATAAGATCATCCTTATCCTGTAAACACCATATTGAGAATCTGATTCTCTACTGACTTGCAATTTGTGTAGCCATTTATGCGTGGTGCACAAAGAGTGTAACATGCTATGCTTATTTTGTAGTGTTTCACACTCACTTTACGCAGGTGTGACTACACAAGATGCAAGGCTGTGAAGAATCAGGCCCTAGGGGTTTAACATGGAGCTTAAGTAGTGTAAGACACCTTGTGCGGGTCTTCTGCACTGAGGTGAATTTAACTCTACGGCCCTTACTTCCCCAGCCTAAAAAAAATACATCAAAACTCTCAAAGCACAATAGGTCTGTGCATGTGCCTCAATACACATCATCATCATCTAAGAAGACAATAATGACAGGTATAAAAAGCAGCTCTCACTACTTAACGTTCCCCCCCACCTCCAGCCTCTGGAAACTACAAAGCTGAACTGGTGAGAGGTGCACACACCAGCTCCTTAAAGAAAGCCATATATATAAACAGATACAAAGAATATATGTATGACAACTAACTTTGTAAAATAAACAGCTATCACCAGCTCCACTTTTAAGAGAAAAATCAGCTAAACTCTGTCCTTGAAGTATGCATGCAGTTTCTTGGGAACTGCATGCATACACGTTCAAGTTGAGTTTGGCCTGATGAATTTAGATTATTGCAACAATAAGTTCAAAAGAGCATGAGAACAGAGTAAAATAAATGACGAAGTTTAAATGATTGTAGTGGAAATTCAGCAGCTCCTTTAGCAAGTATATAACTGTATGCAAAGCCACTGTACAGGGAGAATCTATTACTTAAATGTACATCCTTAAAATACCAATTAATAAGGTTTTCCTCATATATCTCTATATGTGCACATACATTTTTAAAAACTACACTAAAGCAAAATTAAGTTTTAAAATTTAAATGCACAAAAATCAGGCGATTCTGAATTAGAGTTTCCACACAAATTTTAACTCTACCCAGTCAGTAACCAATGCTGCATGCACTTGATTTATATTTATGCTGTACCTTTTCTACAGCTTCAGAGGCACATATTTAGTGTTTTGTTTTACCAACTCTGGGTTATAGCCCCTGAGGCTGTATTATATTCTCCATGTTCCCTCAGCTACAGAACATAACCAAGTGGCACCAGCTGTTTTAGAAAGGGCTGACTGGCTTCACTCGTAAATGTTCTTGGTCCCCCAAACCTGGCAGGCCACTGCATGATTAAAAGGAGCACAGCATACAGACTTGAAACGAGACAGTCCTCTCAGTCAGCTGGAATCCTCTGAAACCGAAGTCAGCAGGATTTGAAAAGTCTGCACTTGGGATAGAGAACATGAAACAGATTTCAAAGCCTGCTGGCCAGGTCTCCCCACAACCCCCAAGACATCTGAAGAAAAAAAAAAAGTTGTACTGTATTGTTTCTATACTGTAGGACCATTTAATGGAAGACCCTAATGTAATGCCTACATGGGGAAGAGTTCCGGCTATTGTAGGATCCATAACAGCAAGTAAAAGCTAGACCTTAATGATTTTTAACATAGATGTATGAAACCTTCATAAGTTATCAATCTTTCCCTCTTTTGTCTCCTTTTTTCACTCTCAATTGATGTATCTAGATGTTCCCACATTGAAAAAATCTGCATCTATGAACATTTGGAGAGACGCTCTTCAGTGTTTATCCAAACCTAGTAGGAAATAGCATAGAGCTCACATATGATAAATCATTTCGAACAGCTGTGTTACAACTTCATTATTTCTAAACCAAGTTTCCTCAAACAAGACAGAACACTGGTTCATCGCCAAGCATTGTGTATATGCTGAGTGTGACTATTTTTAAAAGGCTGTTCTTGAGCTAAGTGTAAAGTATCATATGAAAACAAAATTTCTCCTAGCCCCCAAACACATTCAGAATTGACAACACACACAGCCAATTTTTTTAAATTCACAGCAATCGGCTTCTCTGCAGAGGCTCACCATTGCATTTTTCAGCTCCCACAAGATAATTTCTTCCCCACTCCCTCAGAAAGTTATGGAACACTGGAAATAGGAATTTAGGAAGATCTATTTCATGCCCAAGGGTTACAGTGGAATACAGGGTCAAAGTCAACCCACAGATGGACTTTGGAGTTCCAACAGAAGTCAAAGGAAACGGACATATTTGTGCATAAATTGAGGTTATTATTTCCCACTGGAAGCCACACATTTTCCATTGAAAGAAGCAATAGTTTTCCCTCTCAACAATCCAGTTTATGTGAGAAATTTTACAAGTCAGGGGCATGGATGCAATTCCTATTAACTCAAAGGTATATGTATCTGAGGGCAGTATTTGGCCAGGTACGTGCTGTTACAAAGAATGAGTGAATTTTAAATATACTCTTTCATGAAAGAAAATCAGTAATTGTTAATAATGGACTTTATATTATGCAAATGAATCTTCCTGTTCAAATGTTTAACAAAATTAATCCACTCTAGGATCTTCTTATTCCTGGATAATCTGATTTACCACTTTCTGATACATGGACCACTATCTTGATGTTCTGATTTGAGACTGTCAATCTGTTATCATATATTTTCCTTTCCTATAATGCAGATTTGATTGGACTGTCCTATTCTAAACTGTAAAGGGCTTCTCAGCAAAAGAAGGCTGATCTTTCTCTTTCTTGAGTGTGATGTAATGCACACTATTTGGCTGTCACCCATTTAGTTCAACACAGTACTCTGAAAGTTTGTGTAGTGAGAAACACCTCTTAACAAGAGTAAACTCTGAAATATATAAAAATAAAGTTTTAAATTACTGGTGCTGGCAGCCTTCTTGCGAAGTGACACTTCTGACACCAGCAGTATGGCATCATAACATACTTGTGTACATCCATCCTGCCATAATACTAGTTCAGTTAGAAAGAGTTTAAAAATGCTTAACGTTTACTCAGTAAACTATTTTTCTTCTATACAAATACTTCTCTGCTATCACCAAGAAGAAAGGAATTGATAGTTGATGTCATGATGCTCTGTTCTGTCAAGGGAGATTTTTGCAAATCTTTGAGATCCTATGCCATATTACAAATGTGGGGATCTTTGCAGCAATGCTTAACATTTTTTTCTGGATTAAAGTAATTAATTCTACATTAATTAATGTTTATTTGTGTAATGCTCAGTCTGTCACTTTATCATACTGAATACATTACTACTACTTTAAAAAAATAGGTTTTTTACTCCAAGAAACTATTCCATGAAGACCATGAAACAAACCTGTGAATTCTGGATCCTAATTGTCCCAGGTGACAGTGCTTGTGTCACTACTTGACCTTGTGGAGTGACCACAGTGACTGGCTGATACACTGTACCCCCTTTAAAAACAAACACAAAATTATGATTATAAAGTAGATGAAAGTGAATTTTTGAAAAACATGCATTTCAACACTAAGATCACTATTAAGTGAATATCTTGATGGGAGTTATTTTACTGACAAACATCATTCTTGTACCATGTCTAATTTAAAGAGGGACAAATAACATTCTATTTAATTATTTTAATAACATTATTGCTGACAAATAGAAATGCATTTTTTAGATAACTGATATTAACTATATTTTATTACAACTTCTCTAACACATTAAGATGCACTCTTGGATATTAAAGTTTCATTCATAGAAAACCATAACAAGTTTGACTCAATTTCCATCCATTTTAGATATGTCAGATCAGATGCTCATAGTGACCTTAGTGACAAGACATTTCAAGTGTATTTCATCTTGACTGCCAGCCCAACACAATGGTGCAGTTTGATGTTGTCAGGATTTCACTGACTTCCAGTTCCTGTTACCAATCTACATAATGCGATGAAAGACTTTAAAGCACAGCATTTCAATAATACATATTTTTTGCCTAATAATATTTTGAAAAACAGTAGAAAACATATGTTCTTTTCAACAATAGATCAAATAATTTTTCCATTTATAAAAGGACATTGCATAGAGATATATCACACCCTTCACCCCCACTTTCCACAAAATCCTTTAGATATATTTCTGTGCAATGTCCTTTTTTTGGCTGTATATACATAAGTATATACCAGTGGTTCTCAACCAGGGTTCCAGGGCCCTCTGGAGGGCCATGAGCAGGCTTCAGGGGGTCCCCAAGCAGGGCCAGCATTAGACTCGCTGGGGCCTGGGGCACAAAGTCAAAGCCCCACCGCATGCGGCTGAAGCCTGGGGTCCTGCCACCCAGGGCTGAAGCCAAAGCCTGAGCAACTTAGCTTCTCGGGGCCCCCTGTGGCATGGGGCCCCAGGCAAGCGCCCTGCTCGCTACCCCTCTAACACCAGCCCTGGCGTTCATATGCAGAAAACCAGTAGTTCTGGCACAGGCGGATCATGGAGTTTTTATAGTATGTTGGGGGGGCTATAAAGAAAAAAAGATTGAGAACCCTGGTATATACTATACTTAATTTACACACAACATATGAAACCAGTATTCAAAAGAACTACTGGGACACTCGGTTGTATGACATTTGGAAAGTTACTATTATAGGAGTTATTAATAATAAAAAATATTCCTATCTTTGTACATTTCTTAACAACTGTGAAAGAAAGCAAAATAAAAAGCAATATGCCAGTTTTTCTTTTCTGTGTCATACCTGCTACTGTTGCCATAGTTACATTTCCCTGCTGCAATGCTGATGCAGGCACCATAATCCCTTGGGGACTCAGTGTGCCTGCAATGGCACTTTGAATTTGCTAGAAAAATAAAATAATTAGTTTTTTTAAATTAAGTATGCTCATGTAATTTTTAGTTGCAACAAATCTGGGGCTTTAAAAAGAGGATCATCTCCAAGGGAAAGACTCCATCACTCAAAGGTCATTACTGCAAACTGATCAGCTTGAAAACATTAGTCATTAAATAATAAATTCACAAAGCAGACATGAAATACCCAAATATATTTGGGGATAAAAAAGATTTTGGATACAGAACTAAACCAGAAGTGAAACAACAATTTTCAAAGACATAGAAGATAAAGAGTAGATGTAATTTTACCTCCTGAGACCAATTGTAAGTGAATTTGGAGGTTTAATAAATAACTTAATTCCTTCTGTAGCTTTCTGACTTAAAAATGCAATATGTACATGATACCTTAATATTATAATTTAATTAAACTGTGTAATACAGTTATGTAATTTAAATTATGTTCATACACCCTGATCCTGCAAATATTTGTACATATTCTTAACTTTGCCTGTGAACAGTCCCACTGACTTCAAAGGAAGTACACGTGTAAAAATTAAGCAAATGTGTGTCTGTAGGATTGACAGCTAGTAGCCATGCCACCAAAAATTGTTTTAAGTAATCTCTATGTAATTTCAAACTTTCCTCGCCACGCTTCAAAGTACCAAAAGCAAAAAGTGAGCTTTAAAAACTGAAATTTAAACCATTAGGAATATTCATAGTACATAAAGTTAAACATGCACGTAAGTCATTACAGGATCGGCACCCTAGACTAAAGCACTACTAGGTAGTATGACATCATTGTCCACACTCAGGGAAATAGGGTTGCCAACTTTCTAATCGCACAAAACCAAACACCATACCCCCGCCCACTACATTCCCCCTCCCTTGGTGGCTTGCTCTCCCCCACCCTCACTTTCAGTGGGCTGGGGTAGGGGGTTGGGATACAGGAGGGGGTGAGGGCTCCGGCTGGGAGTGCAGGCTCTGGGGTGGGGCTGGGGATGAGGGGTTCAGAGTGTGAGCAGGGGCTCTGGGCTGGGGCAGGGGGTTGGAGTACGGGGGGTGAGGGCTCTGGGCGGGAGATGCGGACTCTGAGGTGGGGCTAGGGATGAGGGGTTTGGGGTGTAGAAGGGGGCTCCAGATTGAGGCAGGGGGCTGGGTGCAGGAGGGGGTACAGGCTCTGGGTTGGGGCTGGGGATGAGGGGTTTGGGATGCAGGTGGGGGCTCCAGGTTTGGTGGGGGCTCAGGGCTGGGGCAGGGCGTTCGGGCTCGGGCGAGTCCTGGTCAGCGGCTCAATGGGGCTAAGGCAGGCTTCTTGCCTGCCTGCCCACCCTGGCACCCCAGAAGCAGCCAGCAGGTCCGGCGCCTACTAGGTGGGGGGGCCAGGAGCCTCCACGCGCTGCTCTCGCCCGCAGGCATCACCCCTCCAGCTTCCATTGGCTGGGAACAGGTCAATGGGAGTGCAGAGCCAGTGCTTGGGGCGCGGGAAACGTGCGGAGCCCCGTGGCCCTCCTGCCTAGGAGCCGGACCTCCTGGCCGCTTCTGGGGCGCAGCACAGTGCCAGGACAGGTAGGGACTAGCCTGCCTTAGCCCCGCAACACCGCCAACTGGACTTTTAACAGCCCGGTCAGTGGTGCTGACTGGAGCTGCCAGGGTTCCTTTTCGACCGGGTGTTCCAGTTGAAAACCGGACACCTGGTCACTCTACAAGGAAAGAATAATAGGAGTACCAGAAAGAGTAATAAAGCAATCATTACCTCTCAGATTATTTTATACAATAGATTAGGTATTGTAATATTTCAACAATCTAGCAAATAGCGTGCACGTGTATAAGACTATGTGCAGCTGTTAATATTACAAGGTAGATAGAACAGACACGTGACACATCTCTAAAATATTATGACTAAAAACCAACAGGTAACCTTTGTCCACTCTAAAATGTTTGGATCAATTTATACGTTCAGTTTATATACACACACTGAGCCAAATCGTCTTTTCATCTTCAGTGAGGCAGATAAACCTGACAGCTGGGTCACAGCTAAGGAGACATTGCCAAAGAGATGCAATGCATATTACTACAACTTTTTCTTGTGCCCATTCTCTTTCCTAACATCTGTTCTCATCAAGGCAGCAACTCCAGCAAATCCCAAGTTTTTGTTTGTTTGTTTTTTATTTTGAAGTTGCTGGACTGAGGTAAGAAGTAAAAGGAATGCAGGCAAACAGAAATTATGGCATGTCTCTAAGTGTTGACACTTTTCAATAAACTTGTCCACTGTTCAGCTCCTCAAAAGAGGGTTGCTAACCTTAATAAAAACACAATTACAAAGAACAAGGTAAGCAGTGCATAAGTGGAATTCTTACAAAGTGCAGCAAAAAGGTATTTATAAATTTTGCGGTATTTCTAAGCAAAAGCTAATTTAAACTAACTTGAAATGTACCTGCGATGGTACAGGTGAATAAGGACTTCCAGGTTCTCCACTTAGTAGAGTTTCACTGTTCATTTTAGTTTTCAGACAGGCAATGTAACGACTACAGAAATCCTTGCAGAGTTCATTAACCTTTTCTAGCTCAAGCAGATGAATACGTAGAACCTGGATTGCCTTTACCATCTAGAGAGAAAGATGGAAAAAAGACTTAGAAACAAGGCAAGAAAACACTATTACTTGCATGAATAATATAAGGCAAACTTTAAAAACCATGTAAGAATATACTATTTCAATTACCAGAACACAGAATTACTGATGCAGAAGGCTGCTCACAATACTCTTTCCCAGGCTGTATTTTACTGGAGTGTGAAAGGCATGTGTTTAGAACAAAATCCTGTGTTGCTCCACTGCTTAGGTAAACTGTCAAACAAGACAGAACAAACAAATACAGCATAGGATTTTTCTTGTCTTGGCCACAGTCTATATTACTGTACAATTTTAAAAAGATGGTTCGGGCAGGTGTGGTGAACAATAGTACTCTGAGCTATACCCAGAAGAAGGGGTTCAATTCTTCAGTCCCGTTCCCTCACTCCTTGGTTCAGAAGAAACCATAAGTGCTATGGAAGCCTTGCTGAGGAGGAGTGCTACCCATTATTCGGCAACTCAAGTGTCCAATTAATGCTGCCCTATTACCTAAAAGGACATTGGCAGCAACATAAGGCCTCAAGAACAGAGCTGTGAAAGTGAAAAAGTGGGAGAGGAACCTTCAGTTCTTAAACAAGAATAGAGCCCGTCAGCAAATAAATAAATAAATAAATAAATAAGCAAGCAAGCAAGCATTCATACCATCCTTTGGATATAAACATATTTGTAATCATATCCTTTAAAATGCAGTTTTATTCCAAAGCAAGACTACATAAAACTGACATTTTACTCAACAGATCTGCTCCTATGTGTATTCAGCCATATCTGCTGACGTTAGTAACAAAAACGCATTGTTTTTCTGCTTTTTATGCCAGTTTGCAGAGCTAACACGTCTAAGAAAGAATCCTCAGCTCACCCTATTTCACCTTGTGCATCAACAGGATTGCTCACGAAGCTCCAATCTGTTATCCCAGTACAAACTCACTGAAGGTAAGAGGGTTGCACTGGTGACACTCGGGATAATTTGAAGACAATGGGAATGCATGTGTAATCTTATCTGGCCTACAGAACTTTATTACTTACAATGTACAAAATACAAAAAAATCCTGTGGCAGGGCAGGGGAAAAACCCTATCACCCAGAAGCCTTAGACAAGTTAAATTGTTATCTGGGCAAGTAAAAGCACCAGACTTCCTGTTCACCGAACAAGGACATTAGGAGAGCCAGAATGACATCAGACACAGCAACATAGACCATAGTCAGAGGACCGAGTGGATGGGAAAGGGGAGCAGAAAGAATTAAGTTGCCTCAAGAGCAGGGACAGAGAGGATCAGCAACACTGAGCTACTAGTGAGAGTGGAGGGGAGGAGATGCTGGGCAGAGGGATGGGCCTAGCTGCTGTCAGCCAGATATGCAATGCTTTGGGGAAAGGGGCTGATACAAGGGGAAAAGCACACTACTGAGCATATCTGAGGATAATGTGTTGGATACAAGTGCTCTGATCAGAGGTCTGCTGCAGTCAGGTAGTTCAAAGGCAGTCAGGTATCTTTGCCAAAAAGGGAAGCCACGGTTTAACATTTCAGCCAAGCCAAAGTAGGCTGTGTATTATTATTTATATTGTAGCAGCACTAGAGGCCTCAATCAGAGATTGACACCATTTTGCTAAGCACTATATGTACCTAACAAAGTCTGCCCCGTCCCCAGAGTTTATCGTTTACTCAAACTAACTAAAAATGTCATTACTTGCTGCTGCTAAACACAATTTGATTTTATTTAGAATGGAGATGATCTCTCTCTAATACTTTGTTGCAGCCTTCAAACTGCAAATTTACTGCTACTAAGGACAGGTAGTCTGATTTTTTGCAGCAATCCTTGATTTACACACTACATGCTTAAGAAACATTTGTGTAAAGACTATCTATGCACCTAATTTTAAACAAATCTGAAAAGTGTGTGGAAGACATTGAACCACACTGCTGGGTTTTGGGGTAAAAAACCATCATCAGCAGAGCGCAATATTGGAGGCCCTGGGCCAAGAAAGAATAAAGCACATGACACATAAGAAAAATGAGATACTTAGAGTTAAATGCAATTTCCAGAATTAATTAAAAGCTACTATAGATGTAGTTCATGTCAGAAAGATGAAATGTTCTGTGTAATTTGCAGAAAACATGAGAAGCTTTCTGATGAGAGATCTTCTTGTAAGTGGGTGAAAAACCGTTAGAACTGATTTGCTACACGTACATGATTTCTCTGCTGCTCATGCAAAATACACTGATGCAGAAAACAAGTTGCTTTGCCCCCAACAAGAACCTGTTACTATATAATTTTCTGTAAAGTGTTAAATAAGGAGATCCAACAGTTTGTCACCTTGTTTAACACTCTTTACAGTCACTAAACAAGATTTTAGTTCAAGGGATTCTGAGATTTTGCAATTTGAAGGCCAAAAGTGGCCTTAATCCTAGATCAGGGGTGGGTAAACTATGGCCCGGGGGCTGCATCTGGCCCTTCAGATGTTTTAATCCGGCCCTCGCGCTCCTGCTGGGGAGCAGGGTCCAGGGCTTGACCCGCGTAGCTCCCGGAAGCAGCAGCATGTCCCCACATAGGGACAGCCAGGGGGCTCCACACGCTGCCCCCGCGCCAAGCACTGCCCCCGCAGATCCCATTGGCTGGGAACCGCGGCTGATGGGAGCTGCAGGGGCGAGGCCTTGGATGGGGCAGCGCGCAGAGCCGCCTGGCCACACCTCCGCATAGGAGTTTGAGGGGGGACATGCCGCTGCTGCCGGGAGCTGCTTGAGGTAAGCACCGCCCGGAGCCCGCGTCCCTGAACCCCTCCAGCGCCCCAACCCCCTGTCCCATCCCTGATCCCCCTCCCACCCTCTGAACCCCTCCTGCACCCTGGAGCCCGCATCCCCAGCTGGAGCCCTCACCCTCTCCCGCACCCCAACCCCCAATTTCATGAGCATTCATGGCCCGCCATACAATTTCCATACCCAGGCCAAAAAGTTTGTCCACCCTTGTCCTAGATCAAATCATAATAACTATAGCATGGAAGACTTTACAAATGCAAAGTTTCTTCAGGAAGTGCCTCAGAAATATATACAGATAGCTAGCTTTGTTACTGTGCTTGCTGATGAATCAACTGACAGGTAAGTAACTGAGCAAGAGATGGTGAAATCTGATTTGCGCATGATAACAGATCTTGTACTCTTTGCTGATATAGAAGACTTGCAATCTGGGATAGCTAGTGGTACTACTCAGGGAATAAAAACAGCGTCAGGAATTGTAAATATCATGGCAGAATAGCTACAACCAAAACCAAATGGTCTTTCAAGACTGATTGTACAGTAGTGAATACAGGATATTAAAGTAAAGTAGTGTGCAGGCCAAATTTAGGCACAATACTCCTTGTCTGGCTGTTGTAAAGTGCATCATCCACAATACTGACTTGCTATTCTGGATCTCAAAAAAGATTCTCCTTATTCCATAAAGTTTGGATTTCTTTTGTGCACTATTTTGGACATATTCACCATGTACACTGATTTGCTTGCCTGGCCAGAGCACTGAAGCCAGTGATCAAAAATGATCATTTAACAGTCACCCATTTTGCTACATATTGCAGAAACTAAGCTAAGGGGCTGAAGTAACCTTAGTTAAGGGCATCTTAAGGAGATCAAGACAGGCAAATTTGTGCGCACATTGTTTTCCATGATGGATGCAGCCTACATTGTGCCTGAAGTTTTTCTTACTCTTCAAGGAGAGGATCTCTTTCTTGTATGAAGTTTTAGCAAATCTAGAAAGTGGTATGTCGGAACTCACAGCAATGAAAGGCAATCCTAGCCCTTTGGTCCAAAACCTTATCTGTAGGGATGGCAAATGCTTCTGAGTCTTTAAAAGAAAAGCTGCAGAAAAATCAGATCCATGTGCTCAAAGTGTTATTTAAAATATGAATGCACATTCACCAGATTTCAATATTTTGACTACACAGAGTCCTAGTGATAAAAAAAAAAAAAAAAACAAAAACCTAATAAAAAAAAAAAAAAAAAAAAGCACGAGCCATTATGAAAGTATACAATAGACAGTCTTCTAGACCAATGACCTCTTCCAGCGGTTGCCTTTAAAATTGTGTTTAAATACCTCCAAATCCCATATAAATGATCATGAACATGCATATTTAACAAAGTGTTTAACCAGCAGGTCACCTGCTTTTAAGGGTATACTGTTCTTGGTGGAAGTATTATTAAAAAATTGTCCTGTAATGCCGCAATGGTAGAACATGGGTTTTGCACAAAGAACTTTAAAACAAAAACAACCAGTGGCAAAACAAGACTTGATGTAGCTACAAGTAAACAGCCTAAATATAAACTTTTTTTTAGCCTCGCCAAACTATTCTCTACTGGCTTGAAGGAGGACCAGGAACAAAACACATTCATGGACAAAGTCACAATGAGCATACAACAGTTAGGTAGCATTCACTGGAGGGCTTGACTAATGCTAATCTATAGGATCAGATGGACAGTACCCATAGTATTACCTAAGTATCAAAACTTTTACTTGTTTGAAATAAGTTACCTTGCCTCAGTTCTGACCCTCTGTCTCAGATTAGTGGTGATACTGTAATTAACATTAAAGCAAGGACAAAACTAATGTAAGATAAAGTGAGAGCTAGACACACTAAAAACCAAAGAATAAAAATAAAATTCTAGCACAATAGTCCAAAACAGACCATAGAGAAACGCTTCCAGACAATTGCAGCAAAAATAATATTTCATTTTAATTCGCTTGAGAGAAAGAGACCACAGCCTGAAAATTGGGATGTGCACATTTTCGCATGTAATAAGTACATCTGCAGTCTTAATTTCCTGTGGACAAAGCATTAGAATTCTTTTCCCCCAGCATGACTGACTATTACATGCCACCTAATTATGGGTGTCAATAGTCATCTGATATTGTCTTTCCAGTTGTAGAAACAAATCTGGAACATCCACTAATGGTTAAATCCAGTAAGCAGAATAATTTGTCCATAGGTACCAGACAGTA